ACAGGTGTTCCCAGGTGGATTATCAGTGTCTTACTAGGGTGAACAAGGCATATATACGGAACGGTGGCTTGGTTTAATTATTGTTGCCCAAGCAGATTAAGAACATCCTTACCCCAGGGAGGGTACGGCGGCCCCTCCCCAGCTTGCACAGTCCCTCCCAAAGTAACTTAAAAACTTTAAAATAAAATAAGAAATAGGCAGAGAAGGACAAATACCATATGTTTGCACGTAATGGAGGATTAGGAGGAGTTAACAGAGGACTGTGGGGGAGAAGAAGAGGGGGAATGGGAGAGAGGCAAATCATGAGAGACTCTTGAATGCTGAGAACAAAGTGAGGACTGATAGGTGGGGGGAAGGAGGGGTGATGGGCATGAAGGAGAGCACTTGTGGGGATGAGCACTTGGTGTTATATGGAAACCAACTTGACAATAAACTATTTGTAAAAAAAATATTTTTGAAGCTAAAATAGTACCTAAAAAATGATGTTTTTAAAAATTAAAAAAAATCAGTTCTGAAATATGTAGATGACTGTCTTCTGACTTGCCACAGAACACTGTATCATTCAGGTGTAGCTTTATCATACTCTACTGATATCTTCAGGTTACTCAATTTGCCAATCTTACTCCATTAAAGATGAGTATGGTAGCACAATGATTAAGAGTGCTACTTTGACTCCAAATAACGAAGTTCAAATCCTGGGTTCACTGTTTACAAATTTGTTAACTTTGGACATACTATTAGCCTTAGTTTTATCATCTATAAAAATGGGGAATTATTGGGGTACCTGGGTGGTTCAGTCGGTTGAGCGTCCGACTTCAGCTCAGGTCATGATCTCACGGTTCGTGTGTTTGAGCCACGCATCGGGCTCTGTGCTGACAGCTAGCTCAGAGCCTGGAACCTGCTTCGGATTCTATGTCTCTCTCTCTCAAAAATAAATAAATCATTAAAAAAAAATGGGGAATTGTTAACTCTTGCCTTGTAGGTCTATTACGACCACTAAGTGAAATAAGGTTAGAAAGTGTTTAGAACTGTGTCTCAGTAAGCTCAATAAATGTTAGTTATTTTATTACCTATGCCTTGTGGTAGAGATCTGCCCAGACTATAATATGTTACCTTTCTATTACTATCATTATAGTCAATAAAATCTTAATTTTACTAAGAAAAAAAAGAAAAAATAAATAAAAAATAAAATTATACCACTCCTCTATTCTTTTTCTACAGGAGTTTTATCTGCCTACTGGATCAGCTGAACATTATGCATGTATCTCAGGGATGGCAAAGGATAAAATTTTAGGTTGGAATTTCAACACACTGAAAATTTTATGGTCTTATTTTTGTTAAAACTACTGCGCCTATCTCCCGATCTTTGTTCCTTTGTGAATGATCTACTAGTTTTAGAAATTCTCTTTGAGGTTATTTTATCTACAATGCATCCAAGTGTAGTTTTCCTTATCCTTTCTGTCCAGCACCTGGTAAATTAAATTAATTCAATAGGAGGTCCTATATTTTTAATTCTAGGAAACAGAGTCAATATTTTTAAAACTGGTTTGTTCATCTAGTTCTTCTTTGTAACTTTATTCCTGCTTCATGTTTCCAACATGCTCTTTTACACAGTGAAGAAGACAAAGTGCTCAGTCTCATGGAGATATGAGAAGCTAAGAGATGGAGAAGAGTAAGATCCTTTGGCACGAGGAAGGGATAGATAAGGGACATTCATTCTCATGTGAACTGTGAGCTGAAACTTGAATGCCAAGGAGCCAACCATGCAAATATCTAAGGGAGGAACATGACCAAACATCAAATCCAAATAATAATGAGTTGATGAACTGTGAATTTCTGATTACCTTTGGTATTGCTGGTGCCTCTCAGAATCCACTCAGATCCTAAACTTTTCATTCTCTTCCATAGAAGGAGTAAATGTCTTGTGACAAGTTATCTAATATTCTAGTTATCACTTGTCTCTTGTACCCTAGTACTGCTACAAAAAGGATTCAGTGGAAGATGGAGAAACAAGTAAGAACAGGTACAACCTTGGAACTGAGAGAAACAGGGTGAAGGAAAGCTGCCTGTGCCCATTGCTCCCAGGTGAGTCTGTGCCTGGTTCTGCCTCACAAAGTAGTCATGCCACATCTCATTTTGATAACACATTAAGATAGGACTCATCTTATATCTTTCAAGGAACCAGAGAAATAAACTTAAGTGGGATGCCTGGGTGGCTCAGGTGGTTAAGGTGGTTAAGCAACCAACTCTTGATTTTGGCTCACGTCATGATCTCACAGTTCATGAGATCGAGCTCCACATCAAGCTCTGCGCAGAAGGTGCAGAGCCTGCTTAGGCTCTCTCCCTCTCACTCACTCTCGAAATAACTAAGTGTTTGGGGTGCAGGACACACAATCCTTATCAAAATCCAGCAATAAACGGTACACAGAAGAGGAAAAAAGGCAATATAAATGTTCTGTTCTCACCAGAGGTTCTCTTATTTTTTTCCATTTGTCCTGCAGGACATGCTTTTGATTAATTTAACGTTCCCAAACTTCACTAACACATGTACTTGGCATAGACAGAACTAGTCCATGAAGATAAACATTACAAGAGTGGTTACCTTGGGGTAGGGCTTAATTAGGAGGAACAGAGAGCCTTCTGAGATGTTAAGAATGCAAGAGCAGGGTATGGATGGCAGTTACACAGGGGAAACCTGTGCATACACCTAAACACTTAAGATTTCTATACTCTCCTGAAAGAAGTTACATCCCCACATAAGAAGTAAAAAAGAACTTTGTCATGTTTCTGTAATGATTATGCAATTTTCGTATTTCATTAAATTACTTTTTAAACTCATAAAGGAATGAAACCTTCATTTGACCGCCAGAATTGAGGGAGTGTTGGTAGAGCACTGAGCATGAAGAGAGGCATATTTTATTTTATAAATGTTCTTAACATTAATTTTTATTTTTGAGAGACAAGAGAAAGAGCATGAATAGGGGAGGGGCAGAGACAGAGAGAGACAAAGAATCCGAAGCAGGCTCCAGGCTCTGACGTGTCAGCAGAGCCTGATGCGGGGCTCAAACTCATGAACCAAAAGACCAAGACCTAAGCTGAAGTTGGACACTTAACTGACTGAGCCATCCAGGCACCCCTATTTTATAAATATCCTCAAATACCTTAAAGAGGAGCAGCTCATGTAATCTCACTACACACTCCCAAAAGACCTCTTCAGATGGTGATATTTAACCAAACCAGAGACCTATATTGAGCAATCTAAAAAGTATCTCTCTCTCTCTGTTCCTTCCCCACTCACACTCTCCTTCTCACAATAAATAAATAGCTTTTAAATTTCTTTACCAATCAAGGTTTAAAAGAATATAATACAGTTTTAGTTTGTACCTTTTAGTAGTTAAATCTTTTCATTTGTTTAATAAACATTTCATGTCTTATTCTTTAATCTACCCATTCAAATCATCTCCTCATGTTTTTATTTCTTAGAATTTTCCCTGTCCTACTGTATGGTAGAAAACAACAAGTTGTAGAATATTATGTATAATATGAGCCCCACTGTAAAAAAAAACATTTTAAATCTCATATGTATATGTGTATATATAACATATATTACGTGTGAATATATACTTTGGACATATGTATATGTACATCTATGCTATCTTAAAAATTCATGCTGAAATAGAAATGGTTTCCTCTAGGAGGTGAGCAGGCAAAAGGTTAATAGATTTCATTTCATACACTTAAAGCAATAAGAAAAAAAAGATGAAAATTACTGGACTTGTATATGATGTTCAATTATCTATGTTTTAGATAAAGTTTGTTTTTTTTCTTTTAAATATTTAGAGAGAGAGAGGGTGGACATGATTGGGGGAGGGGCAGAGACAGAGAGTGAGAGAGAGAATCCCAAGCAGGCTCCGCAACGTCAGCGCAGAGACCGATGTGGGACTTGATCCTACAAACCATGAGATCGTGACCTGAGCTGAGATCAAGAGTCAGATACTCAACTGACTAAGCCACACAGGAGCCACAATAGTGTTTAGGTAAAGACTTTAGGATCCTAGCATCACAATGCCATCACACTTATGTTAGGTATAAAATGATGTGCTTGAGAGCGGAAGATGGCGATCTAGAGATGCCCCCCAGGGATTTTGTTCTAGGTTGGCGAGAAAAAAAAAACACATAGAAAAATTGATTAGGGGCACATGGGTGGCTCAGTCGGTTAATCATCCAACTTCAGCTCAGATCTTGACCCCATAATTGGTGAGTTAAAGCCCCGCATCGGGCTCTGTGCTGACAGCTCAGAGCCTGGAGCTGTGATCCCTTCTCTCTCTCATTGTACTGTCTCTCTCTGTCTCTCAAAAAATGAATAAATGTTTAAAAATTTTTTTAAAAAAGAAAAACTGATTAGCAATATGAAAGCATATGTTATTAGAGGACTCTAAGTTTGAAACACAAAGTAATGAAAATATGTAAATCTTTGGTGTTCACAGAGGCACCAAAGCAGAGGAATGAATTCTAATGGTAATTATTCCTTCCTCCCCAGTGTTGATCTTCCATTACCCAGCTCCTGGACACAACTTTGCTCACTTTCAAATCCAAACCTCAAGTAACTCTAGGTGACATACAGCCAAAAAGCTTTTCTGTACTCTCCCCCTTTGCTCCTCTCTGTGCTTATCAGTAAGAGGACCATGTGGCCTTTTTGAACTCTACTTTCTTCCATTTGTTACCTGTATCATGCACAAAAGAAGTAAAGTCTAACAACTGGCTCAGCAAATAACAGTGCTTTCTATTTAGAACATGCAGAGGACAGATGGCTGTGTGTTAGTCATTTTGTTTTGTTTCACGGTGATAACATAGTAATAGCTCAATATTTGATAAGTATTAGCATATATGGTGGCGAATACAAGAGCTATTGAGTATAAAGAACAGCACAGCGTACCATTTGTGTAATGAAATTCTGGAAACTCTCCTTTAATGGAGGCTGATGTTCAGTGGGTGGGAGGCAACGAGGAAATATGAGGTGAGAGGTCAGAGAAAGCATCCCAAATAGTGAGAAGGAGGCGGGTGACACCCAAGAGGACGAGGAGTTACAACAGCACAGCAGCAGCCGGATGGTCTGCCCTTCCTCACAAAGGAATAAAGCAAAGCTGGTAGGGAGGTGGGATATGTCCAAACCCGCTGGCGACTGGGGTGGTGTCAAGGTCTTTTAGGTCGACCAGAGGTTTCAGGGTAAAATTCTGTAAAATGGAGGTCAGGAATAAAAACAGCTCCATACGGGCCAGGCTTTCTCCCATACAACTCCGTTTTCCTGAAAATAACAAACACAAGGGATTTGTTCCTTGAACATTATGTTTTGAACTGTCACAAGTATGTCAGAAGAAGTATCTGATGAATGGCTGAACCGATGGAGAGCTGGCTGGAAGGGTAGAGGGATAGACAGATGGAAGGATGGAAATGCCTACTATTCATCTAGTATTTTAATGGGAACCTTTCATGCAACAAATACCTTGAGCATTAGGCCTACATCAAGCACCTCATTATGTATTCCCACATTATGACTACACTTTTCACATTTCCAGTTTCCATACATCTTTGCAGAAACACACCCACTTGTCCAAGTGCATCGGAGGGAGGAGGACTGAGAAAAGGGAGCTCATAAACCTGTGTCTCCCTTTCTACCTCTAGTGCAAAATTTAGACAAAGTTTTTTCTTCATGTGATTTCAAAAGCACATGTCTAAATGTGTCCTCTCTTGGGGCACTGGGTAGCTCAGTTGGTTATGCAAATGACTCTTGATTTCAGCTCAGGTCACGATCTTAGTTTGTGGGATCGAGCTCCGCATCAGGATCCCACCTGACAGCATGGAGTCTGCTTGGGACTCTCTCTCCCCTGTCTCTCTGCCCCTTCCTAATTCACACACATGTGTTCGCACGCTCTCTTTCTCAAGATAAATATTTTTTTAATAAAAATAAAAAATAAAAAAATAAATGTGCCACTTTCTCAATTTAAAATATTAAATGACTCCCTGATCATATTAAATGACTCTCCCTGATGAGATGAGGTCAAATGGGTTGAACTGGCCTTCCACATTCTGTTCCCAGTCTGATGAGTCGTATCCCTCCTCCCATCCTTCCACTCTTGGCTCTAGCCATACTGACTCTTCATCGATCTCCAACATACCGAGAAGTTTCCAGCTGTACTTCCTGCTGTTCTGTTGCCTTTGGTTAAGGTGCACTTCTCTCATACTTCTTCCAGGACCTATGTCACATGTCATTTCCTCTTTATAATCTTTATGATCACCGTGGGAGCTACAGTCTTGCTCTCTCTGGCTTTCCTCAGAATCTTACTTACTCTTCAATTAAAGAAGGGATCATCACCTTGAATCATGATTCTCTGTTTATTTCTCCGACCATGTTAAAATGTGTGCTCCTTATAGGGAAAGGTCAGTCTTTGACATCCTGGTATGTATGGCACAAGACCCAAAGCAGGCATCAAAAGCCATCAGATAAAGAAAGGTGACTCTGTGGCCAGAGATTCAGGACACACACTGTAGACATGGACACCCATGATCCAAGATCTCTGATCTTGAGCAGATGAAGATCAGGTGCTTTTGAATCCTGCAGGGTATTCTGCCATGTATTCAAGGTTTACTTAATGCTGCAGTTAGTTAGCAGGTTCTGACTGCCTTGTCTATTAAAACGTTCTGCTCCTATAGTCCACTCTCTAAAAATGCCCTGCCTTCTCTTCTTTCCCTTTCTCGCTGCCCCTGTGAGGCAGCTCAAATTCTCTTCCTATTAGAATGTTGCTTATTCCATTTTATGCCTCGTAAAGTGATCAGGAAGCAGGTGGCTTCCTCCTCTGGCCTCCTGAGCAGCTGTGCTTTCCTCTTCCACAACAGTAGCCTTGCTGGATTACAATAATCTATTTACTAATCTGTTTCCCTAACTAAGGTGTGAGCCCTTTTGGTGCCCATTCTGTTCTTGTGGATACTTATAACTCCGGAGCCCACTCTGGGGAGTGGGAGATATCATATAGAAGATAGTTAACTCAAAGTTGAGGAGTTACATTCTACCCACCCCAGCTAGGCACCATGTAAGTTTCAATGGATCATCCAAGATATTCTTGGGTGATTTCTGGTCATGGACAGAGAACAATTCTACCCACCCCAGCTAGGCACCATGTAAGTTTCAACGGATGATCTAAAAATATCCGGTCTCCTTCAGTACCTAAGAAAATCAATGTTTATTACCTGCTGAGAAAGCCATGAAGTAGTCACTGTTCTTAAAGTTGCCACTATCATCCAGGAAATGGGAAGGGTCAAATTTCTCTGGGTTGGGGAATTCTTTGTCATCATGTAGCACAGAAGTCAGTGATATTAATATGGTTGTGCCCTGGAATGAACAGATGACAATAAATTTCATTATAAAGAAGTTGGGGAGCCAGACACACCAGTAATAAACAGGGATGAGATTAAGACCAGTGCTAGTAAGGTGGCTAAAGTGGTCTCCAATAGGATTTGAAATGCTGAGTGCTTGGTTACTTGGGTGCCAGACCTCTAAATCACCTCTACTGATCACTATCTTTGTTTTTTTTTTTTAATGTTTTTATTTATTTCTGAGAGACAGAGAGAGAGAGAGAGAGGGAGAGACAGCGTGAGGTAAGGGTCAGAGAGAAGTAGAAACAGAACCTAAAACAGCTCCAGGCTCTGAGCCAGCTGTCAGCACTTGGCCCGACGCAGTGCTTGAACCCATGAACTACAAGATCATAACCTGATCCAAGGTCGGATGCTTAACCGACTGAGCCACCCAGGAGCCCCCCCGATCACTATCTTTGGACAATGGTGTAGACCCCACCCTCTGCTTTATTTCATCACTTTGGTTTTCATGCATCTCACATGGCCAATGGTTTAAAATGGAAGCTTCTGGCATCCAAATTGGCAAGGAAGAAGTCAAATTTCACTCTTTACTGATGACATGATACTCTATGTGGAAACCCCAAAAGACCATCAAAAAACTGCTAGAACTAATACATAAATTCAGCAAAGTTGCAGGATATAAAATTAATGTACAGAAATCTGTGGCATTTGTATACACCAATAATGAAGCAGCAGAAAAAGAAATCAAGGAATTGATCCCATTTACTATTGGATCAAAAGCAATAGGATACCTATTAATAAACCTAACCAAAGAGGTAAAATATCTGTATGCTGAAAACTATGGGACATTAATGAAAAAAATTAAAGATGACACAAAGAAATGGAAAAATATCTCATGCTCATGGGTTGGAAAAATATGTTGTGAAAATGTCTATACTGCTCAAGGCAATCTACACATTCAATGTAATCCCTATGTAAATAACACCATAATTTTTCACAGAGCTAGAACAAACAATTCTAAAATTTGTATAACACCAGAAAAGACCTCAAATAGCCAAAGTAATGTTGAAAAAGAAAACCAAAGCTGGAGGCATCACAATTCTGAACTTGAAGCTATATTACAAAGATGTAATTGGGGCGACGGACGGCTCAGTCAGTTAAGCGTCTGACTTCGGTTCAGGTCATGATCTCATGGTCCATGATTTCAAGCTCTGCATCAGGGTCTGTGCTGACAGCCTGGAGCCTAGAGCCTGCTTCAGATTCTGTGTGTGTCTCTCTCTCTCTCTGCCCCTTCCCAACTCATGCTCTGTCTCTCAAAAATAAATAAACACTAAAAAAAAAA